TCCCTCCTTCCCCACCGCAGCCTGACCTCCTCCACACCCGGGCCTCCCTCTCCTCCTTCCCCGCCGCTGCCCGGCCTCCTCCCCACCCGCGCCTCCCTCTCCTTCTTCCCTGCTGCCACCCAGCCTCCTCCCTTCACGGCCTCCTCCTTCCACCCCTCCGATCTGGTGCCGCCCTCTAATTCATGTTATTGTGATTTGGAACGATTTGTGTTTTGGTGGGCTTCAATTTGGTGCTTCCCCTTTCCATGTGCAGAGAAAAGGAGAAGAAGGGGTTGGATGAGCAAGAAGCAGAAGGACTAGAACAAGAAGAAGGGAAGGGAGGTGGGGCCATATGCATGTCCATGGAGGTCTGTCCCCCTCTCCTCCTCTCTTCTCTTTCAATCTTTCCTTGTACTGCAGCAGCCCTTAATCCCCTTTGATTCGATTTGTTCAGTTGTGTTACTTGTTGTCTCCTAAGAAAAACTAGAGAACCTGAAGAAAATTGTATTGAAAGTAGTTTAACTTCCAGTTTGTACACTTTTTTGTGTTACTGAAAGTAGCAGAGCAGGCGAGGGAGACTAGGTCGCGCTCTCTCTGCCTTTGTCTCGCGTGGGGAGGAGTGGAGGCTGCGGCTCGCACTTCTTCTCCTTTGTGGACTGCAGAATGGACGGGCGAGACGCTGCTCCTCTTGTCACGCGAGGGTGACAGTCTGGTCCCGTCCAGGTTAACCCACCAGGAAGATGTATATGCTTGTCTCTGTACTAACCATTGAAAATAAGCAACACCTGAAAGAAATATTCAGTTTGACTATGGATATGCTCATCTCATTATATTCAGAGTTCAATATATATTAAGAGTTCAGGGGTAGAGTTGATTTTTTTGCTGCTCTGTCTCCTCTGCACATATTGGTTCCATTTTTAGATTATCTGCATTTGCTAGGCTTCATTCTGTAGGACAGCACATGGAGTATCACATGCTTGTATGTACTAACCATCAAAAACAGTACCTGTAATATGAAGTATGACTATGTGTATCTATGAGAGATTATTTATTTATAGCCTTGAAGATGTATTCTTCCTGACTGTTGCGTTATGTTCACTTCCTCGATTAGCACCACCATCTTTTTTTTTGGACACCAGCCATCATCTCTTGTAGTATCACTGCCAGGCATAATTCTTGTAAATCTATTATGCAAGCAAACTCCTGATTGATGGCCCCACTACGTACCAATGAACTCTGTACCTACAATTCATAGATTCTTGGGTACCAGTTTTGTACTCTATTTCTTATTACTCATGGCATGCTCCTGATACAGGTACTCCTCTTTGGCGTAATGGGACACCAGACAAGCCAGTTCTCTGCAATGCATGTGGTTCGAGATGGAGGATAAAGGGTACATTGGTGAATTACACACCGGCGCATCGTCGGGAAGATACTGACGCTGGCGAAGCTGGACCTGACAAGCTGAAGCTCAATGGACAGAAACAGCCGAAGAAACGACCAAACTGCACTACTGCAGCATAGTGAAGGATGAACCACGGTCTGATCAGAGCTTCTGGAAGATAGGAAATGCGGACACAAGCAATAGATTCTGTTTTGGATCAGTGGTGTCATATTCAGAGAGTTGTGCCCCGTATGGTTCTATTGATGCAAGTGAAATAGCCGGTGAGTTCTCTCTAATTTCTTGACTTGTTGCTGTTAAGTCAAAACTTTTATGTTCTTCGTACCAATCATAATCATTAGTTGACCCTCTAAGTCCCTATGCATAGCATAATCTTTTTGGATGAGTTCTTTTCATAACCAGAAGTAGCCAATAAGTGTTTTGTTCATGTGAGACTCGAGATTTGATAGTGCTAACCTCAAAGAGATAGTGGTGGATGTACACAACTCACGATTTGGCAAATAGCTAAATTCCTTATATTTTAGTATTTCTTTCTTATTATCTTTCCTACTTCTGGTTCCCGAACTGAACTTTTATTCTTTTCTACAGAAATTAGAAGAGTGAGTGATGGTTTGTACAAATGTTTACGGTATCCTGTCAATGAGGGAATGAGGGCATGTAAATTGGCGCTTATCCCTCGGCCGATCTGTTTTTGCTCGATGTGCGAGCAGCCCGTGCACCCAAAATCGACCCATGACGATTCAAAATCTTATCCAAAGGCAGCAGCCGGAGGATGGAAACACGGTATTCATCCAGGGAGCCGTAATCAATGCAATTCTGGATTCGGATTTGCTAATATCACATTAGCTAGATTTAGGCATGTGCAGAGATGTGTATAGTTCAGAACTTATTGAGAGCAACTATATCTGTTGTATGTGTACTTGCATTGTTGTTTTCCTTTCGACTGATGTAAGAAAGTGATCTGATGAAAACTGATGTTATTACTTCTCTTATTTACAGGAAGCAGTATTGTAATGCTCTATTGAAAGGTGTATGTTGAGCTCTGAAGGCAAGCACGACCATCACGCTTTTGCTCCTGTGGTAGGCATGTAGGCATGTCGTTTGACTCTTGCCAAGAAGCGTATGAGCAGTACAACCTGTTTGCTTGGGAAAATGGTTTTGGTATTCGTCAGGGAAAATCTAGATGGGGCGAAGGATGATACCAGCTGATGCACGAAATCGCCTATCAGTGTCAGGTTAGCTCCACACAGTCACAGTTGGAGATTTAGTAGTTAAATATCGATTCGAATAGTCATATTACATGACTTGTGGTTGTTGGTAAATCTCAATCATGTTGCTTTGTTTTGTATATTTTTGCATCTCAAGTCTGAATGAGATGCACATTATAATGTCAATATGTCATCAGATTAACTGGTGTCTTGGGGGTCCTAATGAGTTTTCTGTGAAAAACTAGCTTAAATGGCAGCAAGTTTTGAATACAGTGTATGTTCTGTAGCTTCTTTAGCAAGATCACTGAATACTGGTTTGGTCTATATTTTCAGGTACTAATCGATTTGTACTCATGCGTAGTGATTACTTAAAGGAATCTATGAGTTCCTGCAAGATGCATCTCCAGCATTTCTTGTGCAGATAAGTTCCTACTCATATTTCCCCCTTGCATAGCAATCGACTTATTTTAGGAACATTAATATCATTCATTGGCCTATGAATTTCTCACATAATTTCCTGCTTTACTGTTCTGGTGAGCATCCTTTTTAAATATTTTTGTTTCTTGATACCTCGAAACAGTAGTTTAAATTCTTTTCCACGAATCTGCGTGTTGCTGTCTTGGTGATGGTAATTAGTCATGGATAGTTGCCATTCTGAAGTTCCTTGGTTCAGATATGTGCGGTTTGGCAATGATTTTGCCTGTTCTTTTTTCTGTTCAAATATATACCATTTGGCAATGACTAGATTCAAAGATACTGGCCAGTCCTATGTAATGGTACAAGCGCCATTTGCAGGCACTCGAGGTATGAGTGACATGCCCCCCTCACCTTTGACGTCCCAGCACGCTCCGTCGCATTTTCTGCCTTTTGGTTAGCATAATGGTGCTCTTCTTAGGACAGGATTGGTACCAGAAAGATTGTTTTTTGCAGCATTATTCTGCAATGTGCTCAATTTATTTGGAACTGGGTGAGTAGATGAAGTGATTCGGCTTAGCCTCCTCCAGCTAATTTAGGTGTTGGCCATCCATTATTAGATTGTACGAATGGAATAGAAGTAATCTTTGTGAAGTCTTAGCTTTGCCCAGTTCATTCGGCACCCTTGGATGCAAGGATTTTTCCAAATTCATGATACTATATCCTCTGAAATTGACTTTCAAAAGTAGAGCTCTGTATTACGGGTGTTGGCTGATGCCCCGATGCATATTTTTGGTTGTGCCCTCAGTTGGTCAATTATTTTTAGGACATTGTGAGGGGAATGTGTGGGCACTCGTAGACATCCCAAACTTTTGCAACAAGCCAAGCAAGAATTGAAATATGAATGGGCTGCCACAAGTAATTAGATACGAATGAATGCTTCTTGCTTGATTAGATTTGTTGACGAGGAATAGGACTCAACTCACGCCACTTCCATTCATCTAACGCTGCATATATACAGTTTACAGGAGCAGTTCAGAGAGAACGTGTGAGAGCCACTAGCTCCACTAACCCACGATGCAAATCATGTCTCAGAGAGAGAGAGAGAGAGAGAGAGAGAGAGAGAGAGATCATGCGGTGACTACGCATACATACACACACCAGTACGTATTCTGCTAACAAGATTGATACATCTCCTCTCCTTATATAGAGAGGTTTACTTGACTCCTAAGCAAGCGACCCTTATCTCTAATTAATCCTAATCCTCCTAATAAGATAATTGGGCTAAGCCCCTAATAACGATAAGATAACTTGGGCCACAACTCACTGGGCTAAGCCCCTAATATGCCGGTCATAACAGTTAGTGAATCATGGTTCTGATTGTGCACCTTTTTTGGCTTAGAAAAATATAGCAATTTATGGTTACTTCTTAAGTTTGGTTATCTCAATTGGGTGTCCTTGCTGCGTTATGGTCTGACCGTGTGTGTGTGTGTGTGTGTGTGTGTGTGTGTGTGTGCACGCGCGCGCTCATGAAGCTTCTGTTCTCCATGGATGAACCTCAACAGGCAACAGCAAGCCATCTCAAGGGAGGGGATTCTCAAGTCACCCCACTTCCAATCCATCGATGCCATCCACAAGGACCAAGATGACAATGACCAGGAAGGAAGGAGCCCACGCCCGACCCCTACGACGATGGTTCTGTTTGTGCGCCAGCGACGACCACAACCTCCCTCTCCGGTGAGTGAGCACATCTCCTACCTCTGGCTCCCTCTGTTTCTCTTGTGCTTCTCTAGGTAGGTAGTAACATAGAGAAAGATGGAAGGGGTTCTGGCTCTCTCTCTCTCTCTCTCTCTCTCTGTATATATATTTCTTGGTTAGAACCTTGCTAAGGCAGTGGTGATGGCGCAGGCTTACCGATTCAGCCTTTTGCTTCGAATATTTGTACTGCTCCATTTTTTAATTGTTGAGACAAAATAATAAGCTTATGTGGTATATGTTCCTTTGATTGCAGTTTACTAAATGTCCTCTTTGAAGTTCCCAATTTTCTGCTTTCATGTATAACTTTATTCATATAGACATGCAATGGCTTCATCTCAGAAAATTGTGTGGTATATATATATATACTAAAGGCGTAAGGGTCATGGCCGATGGATATAGGGACTGCTACAACGCACATATATTACATTTTCCTTCTATCCCATTCCTTCAGCGTCAATACTGGCACAACCATAAATCCAGAACCAGAAGATGATAGCTCAAGAATATAGTATGTGTGCTATGCCACGCTGTATAAACCTACTGGAAGCACAACAAACCCTTAAGTCAAATGGAATGTGTTCTGTTAAAAATCTAATTAATGGTCTGACTTTGATAAAGCCACAGGACGCTACAGGGTTAAAGGATAGTTTTCATCAAGAATATGCGCATTGAGATCCACACACACGTCAGTAAATCAAGAAACTACATATGTTCCTATCTGGAGGCACCCATTGTACTGCAAGCAAGACACTGAGTTTGGTTTCAGGTTCCTCTCAAAAGATATCAGGTCTCTCCCTCTCTCCAATTAGCTAATGATAGTCTGTTTGCCTTTTTAGGCTAGAACGGCATAGTTTGGTTTGACTATTTTGGATCGAGATATAATTGTTTGGTAAAACTGTTGTCTAAAAATAGTGCTTATTTCTTTTACGAAAGAAAATGTTGTGCCACATGCTCATCCATGAGAACCATCTATTCAGCTTTTATCTAATTACGCATTGAACAATTTGATTATGAATCTGTTCTGGTGCAGCCTATCTACGCTTGCATCACTAATATTGCTATAAGTAATCTGTGGCGTTTCTGACAGTACAAATGAATGTTGAATGGGGATGTCATGCCATAGGTTAATCCTATTGCTTTGTTTTTTCTCTTAAACTTTCATATGCGTGCCCAATTTATACACTGCAAATTAATTTGGAGTTTGATTCTGTACTTTTTACTTACTTTACTGTTTTGCTGATCTAGATAAAGCCGAGGACAATTAGAGAGTTCCATGTCATTTATCCAAATGAAGATGATAATGAGAAATTCCAACATTATGCTTTCCCGTTGAATATAGCCAAAGGTCATCTCTGCCTCTTCTTTCCAACATTATGACTAAATGTTTGACATGACCCCATTATCTACAGAAGCAAATTCTAGCAGAGAAGCAAATTTTGTAGATTGAAGAACTTTAGGTTGACAAGGTAATATCTCAAGCATATGTCTAGCCCCTTTCATATTTTATGGACTTCCTTGCGAATCTTCATGTATTGTGATCTTTTTTACTTCAGCCTGCAAAAGCATGTGTTAATTGTGTTCTTGAAGCCGCCGGCGATCTGTCCATGGACACGGACCTGGGCTCTCGCGGCTTCACCCACACCGAGTGCCTTCCCAATACGTACGACCAACCAACACAAAGATGACACAGATTGGTTATGCAGGATCTCTTGGTAATGAAACTCTTCCCTTGGCTGTACCTAATCTTGTATGTTCCATTATTTTTCCTTTTGAGTGGATTGCTATATGGAGTACCATCTATTTCTAATGAATTTATATGTTGCTTGCTGCCTTTTTTAATTAGATAGATCCAATAACTATACCAATGAATAGATTTTTTTTGTGACTGATATATAATTCAGTGATATAAATGCTATATATTTTGTATCTGATATGCAAGGTTACCTGAATCTCCTCGCATATTTTTTTTGTGTTCGTTTATTTATATGGAAAATAGCCTACTTAGTCAATTTTGGTTTAGCCCTGTATGTGGTTTGCTTACTCAATATTGACCTCAGTGTCACTATGCCTGCTTCCGAAGCTCTAGCACTGAAATATATGCTCTGTTACTCTTAATCAAGATGCTTTTGTACCAACTTTATGCCATGCTGCACTTACTCGGGCTAAATCCTTGTGCTTTATCATGAGGACAACAATAGTGGTTACTTCTCATCTGAGCTTGAGCTGTGGTGAATGCGACCGATGTTTCGACCGCATACGAAGATGTAGTTCTTTTGGTTTATCAGCCAATATGATCGTATATAGACGGGATGCCTGTACAGAGGCGTTTTGAATTAGTATGGTAGCAGACTATCCTATCCTTATTGTAAATTATGTGTGATCATCGCTATGAGACACTCCTTTGGATGGATTTACCATTCCATGGTTATTGTAAATTATGAATGAATTATGCTGTAGTTTTAGTATTGGTTCTCTAATCTACTTCCTCTGCCTGTGTTATGCATGTGTTATCATGTGTCAATGCATATACAAAACCTGGATTCTTACTAACTTACAATTACCAGGTTGACCAAAATGGTGAGACCAGCACCCTCGCGCCAAGGCGCGATCCCGATCTAGTAGAATAGAGACGATGGCCATGCCGATTGATGTTTACGCGGCCACCAGAGAGAGCGCGGGCGAATGTATGTAGGCTAGTCGTGTGTTTCTTTACCAGCCGATATCGGTCCATCCATCGACCAGAGGGCGAATCGGACCCGATCGAATACGTACTTGTAGCCAACCGAGTATAAAGCTTGCAGTCTCGTGATCATCGAGCGGTCCAAATCGATTTCTCGGGGCTCCGGCCGTGATGAAGATCGCCGCGAACGCCCGACGTAGGCGGCGACATGACCGCCTGAGCAGGCTAAGCGACGCCACGCTGGGGCGCATCCTCTCCTTCCTCCCATCAAAGGAGGCGGCGCGCGCGGCGTTGCTCTCGACCCGGTGGCGCGACGCCTTCGCCGGCGTCGACGCCGTGTCGCTGGAGGAGCCCGAGAGCCCCCTCCCGGACTACGAGGACCACGGCGGCTGCGGCTGCATGTCCTGCACCTACGGCCGCCCCGTCGACCCCAACCCGAAGCCGCCCTTCACCACCGCCGTCACTGCCGCCCTCCTCGCGCGCCACCGCGTGCCTCACGCACCCGCGCCGCCGCTGCGTGCGCTCCGCGTCGCCCTGAATGGTTACCACCGCGAGAGGGCCTCGACGGTGGACCATTGGCTATCCTACGCCCTCAAGCAGGCCGCCCCTGCACCTCATAGGCTCGAGCTCGACCTCCGCCTCAGCCGCGAGCCCATCTGCAATCGCCCTTACTCCCTCCGCGCCGCCGCCAGCAGCTTGAAACCCGCGCGCCGTGCTCGTCGTAAACGCAGCCGCACCCCCGACTCCGACGCGGACGAAGCAAGCCGCCGCGCGACTCGCCAACGGCGGGTGTCGGTCTCTAACGACGATTCCGAGCCAGACTACCATGGGTACACCGTCCCGAGGATGCTTTTCTCCTCCGTCGCCCTGCGGTCGCTCAGCATCGGCCCCTGCAGGCTCTCCGTGCCTGCCGCCGTCAGCCTGCCGTCTCTCCAGACACTCCTCCTCACCCGCGTATCCGACCGAGAGCGACATGTGTAGAGGCTCATCGACGCCTGCCCTCGCCTCGCCGAGCTCACGCTCGAGGCCTGCGCCATGGTGACCACACTCTGCCTCCTCGGCAACCGCCGCCTTCGCAAGCTCGCGCTCCGGTGCTGCCACAACCTGACCGCCGTGGCCGTCAATGGCAAGCTCGACTCCCTGGAGTACCGCGGCGCGGTGCCCGACGCGTCTCTCGTGTCCTCCCGTCGCCGTGCCGACCGCTTGAGTTTTACGTCGTGCAGTATCGATATCTGTGGCGAGGAGGTCTCCTCGCCGAAGGAGCTCACTAAACTCGGAGGGTTTCTGCAGCTAGTTGCGTCCACCAATCACCTGGACCTGCGGTCCGCGCGCCTAGGCTCCGGCATACAACTCGGCGCCATGGCGAGGTTACCGGCGTTCACCAACCTTGTCCACCTCGAGCTAACCGGGCGCCTCCCGCACGGCGACGGCGACGCCGCCATCCCCGCCTTGAGCAGGATCCTCCGGCACGCGCCGACCCTGGAGGTGCTCTCGCTAGCCTTCGACACGGGCCCCGGCGACGAGGAGTTGCGCGCCACCCGCGAAAGCTGGGAAGACTGCAAGGTGGGGGAGCTCACGAGCGCGCACCAACTCAGGTACAACGAGGACGAGGTCCTCCTGCCCACGCCGACGGTGATCATCCGCTGCCTCACGAAGCGGGTGAGGGAGATCAATTTGGTGCATTACCACGGCGGGAGGGCGCAGAGGACGCTGGTCAAGTTCTTGCTCAGCAATGCTCCGGTTCTCGCCAAGCTCTACTGCGGATTTGCTCCAGGGCCACCGTGGATTCAGACCAAGCTAAGAGACGAGATCCAAGGTTGGGCGATGAACAGGCCGGAAAATTGCATCTTCGACTAATTCAGATTGTATATAGAAGCTACTGTAATGCAAGTTGATTTTTAGCTTAGTTATCTGGCCAATGCACCGTCTTAATTTCCTCGCATTGTGACACATAAAATTCTTGAAATGAAAGATATGCAAAATTTTACTTTTATTAAAAAAAATACTTTTTATCCTCTAGGAGATGTGATCTTGTGAAAGTTTGTTCCTAGCCCCAAACTGGGATCTTGTGACAATATTTCACTACTGAAAAAATGGGCTTTCCCGAGTGTCCGCATCTTTACTGAGAGTGGAACATCAGGAGCTCAGCAAAAGCCACGTAAATTTACTTGCGCGGGTGTGAGGATCATAATAATTATCATTGCAATATATTTTTGTGATATTTCAATGTACAAATATTTGAATTAGTAATATGTGAAGTAAACTAAAAAAATTTATTATCCAGGGATTTGCTAATTCTCATCAATGTTCTACTCCATCCGATTTTCATGTGCCAAGATTTGTGTTACTGTGCGGAACTAGCCTGGGATGTGTCATGTTGATATTGATGGTTGGTGAAGGTTTCGTTAGGCGTTGTGTGTTTCGTGTTTTGGGCCTTTTTAGGGTTTTCAAATCATGTGTTGAACCATACCTTTTCAATCGAGTGGCTACATATGTCGTCATGTTGTTTGGGCTTCGATGAGTAGTTTGAGAATGGTGGAAAATAGACAATGGTGTTTCTCAATAGGAAAGAATGGACAAATGTGAAGAAAAAACCCTAGATGCATTAAAACCTTGTAAATTAAGGACAATAAAACCAAGCCTAAAACGAGCTTCTAAGCGATTTGGGTTTCTGACCGTCGGATCCCGTGTCTTGATCGCTATCGGCCGTCTGATGCACGATTTCCTCCCGCTTGGGCCGCTCCTAGGTCGACTGTCATTGGGTCGCTACTCCAGCAGTCAAATCTGATGCGTCTCGTTCATTGTTGTGGGTAGACCTGGCCATGGAAAACCCGCCCCGGCCTGGTCTTGCCCGGGCCTGGGCCTAGTTTTCGAGCTTGAGTGCTAGGTCGGGCCGGGCTTGGGCTTGCCATTTATGCGTTTTAAGGAAGGGGCCCAGCCAGAGGCCGGACGGGCTTTTCCACGCACGGGTCGGGTTTGGGCCTGAAAACTAGGGCCCGACGGCCGGGCCCGGGCCTAGGTTTTGTGCTGAGGGTTCATATAGGCCTGGCCCGAATTATTGGCAGGTATAGTTGTGGGTTAACCTTGGATCACGGATGAATGGTTGTGATTCTGCTCGGTGTCCACCTCCTACCACCCACTCCCCAATTCAATACCTCTCATCTCCACCTACAGATAGACCTGCTAGGTCACAGATATATATATATATATATATATATATATATATATATATATATATATATATATATATATATATATATATATATATATATATATATAAACACTATTCTGATCACGGGATCAGAATAATATTCTGATCACAACCTGAACTGCCTAAGTAACGCGCCTGACCTTCCCTGTGAACTAGGTTGAACTTCCCGCAACATTGCCCAAATAGGGCTTGCTATATATCGTTGCAAAGCTATGGACACCAATATCATGACCCAACTTAATTTTTTGGCAAAATATTAGCGGTTTAAGAGCAGTTTTAAAAACCTTTTTTTATTCGCACAAAAAACGTGAATCGTATTTTTGATCGCATTTCTAAACCGTTTATCGGAATGAGGCATATAATATGGCGTTGGAAAGCTGTTGCAACGCTCCTTCCACATGTTGAAAGTTTTTTCTAATTCCCTATGGTTAAAGAGTAATTTGGAAAAAACATAAAATTTCATAAACCGAACAGCCGAGTTCGTTTTTTCGATGTCATTTCTAAACGGCTAATCCAATGGAGGCATATGCTATGGCATTGGAAAGCTTATGAAAAT